TTATTTATTTAAATATCGTACCCCACCCAGAGTCGCTTTGTGTGAGATGGGTGGCTATATAAAAGTAACATATATATGAATGAATGAATGAATGAATGAATGAATGAATGAATGAATGAAGTCCTAGAGAGTTCTGTGAGATTCAGAAAGGGAGTTGGCCAATTTTGCCTGTTTGAAAACATTCTTTATAAAGATTGAAAACCAAAAAAAATGCAACGGAGAGAGCAGGATCTTGAAGTTGTCCACCAACAGGTAATATCTGCAGAATGAACTGAATGGACACGTTCTTCACTTGACCGTTTTTGTTTTTTTTTTAACTATGGCTGAGATGGATGTATTTCTGTTAAATTATTCTCATTATTTCTAAACATAATCTATGAAAAAATGTCTTTGAAGCATCAAGTAAGGGCTTACTTTTGGATTGTCATAAGCTGTGTTATGTTGTGTTTTCAGGGAAATTGTCCACTTAGCTCCTTAGGCCTTATATAAATTTATTTTTTGGTTGCTATTGTCATATCTTAAATTTAAAATCACTGTATATACATTGTACTAACACAGTGTTTCTCAAGCTTGGCAACTTTAAGATGTCTGGACTTCAACTCCCAGAATTACCCTGGCTGGGGAATTCTGGGAGTTGAAGTTCAGACATCTTAAAGTTGCCAAGCTTGAGAAACACTGCACTAACATACTTTTTTGTATGTGCTTGACTGTTAGGTTGTTTTAATTTTTTTAATCAAATTTTGCAAATTTGTTGCAAAAAACAAATATCACTGGATGAATAATCTAGTTATGAGTATTGCTGGATGAATAGAGCAAAATAAAGAAAAGATGCCCGCGCTGCGTTTTCATTATTATCATTTGCTTGTAAGCGTGTTCACAGACTGCGTCTCCTAGCAGTAATGCTGTTTCGTGTGCATTTACAGATGGAGAAATTCAGAACTCTCCTTTTTACAACAGAGGAAGATGAAAAGATCCCAATGGTGAATAATTTCCGGCCCCCTCAGCCTCTTAAGGGAAGGGTTGTTCGTGCATCCTTCAAGGTGTAAGAACGGATGGAAAGGAGAAGGCAGAACGTGCAAAGAGATTCTAAAGCAGCAGACATAAGACTTTGATTTTCATCGTGGGCTTTAAAATGCCACAGCAAGGAGGCAGCAGGACATCTACTGACATGATTCCAAACTCAAGATATCTTGGGAAGCATCCATACCACTCCAAGCTTCCTCAGAAGTGGTTTTTAAGAATGTGGGTTCTCCCTCTTTTTTCCTTCCTTCCTTCCTTCCTTCCTTCCTTCCTTCCTTCCTTCCTTCCTTCCTTCCTTCCTTCC